AATCATACCAGCCTGTTCTGGTCGGCGAGACTCTGGTAGCTGTAAGCCAATTTTGAGTGCATGTCGGAAGATTTTGCCAATACAATCTCTCTTAAAAGAGTACAACTTATTAATCTTCTCCTGTAAGGTAGGGGTTGTCGGCTTTTCTTTCACTTGTTTTGCTATTTTAGGCACAATTGCTTCCCCTTTCTCCTTTTTATCTGGAGGAGAAGTAAATGTTGTATTTACTTCATCTCGTTTTGAATCATAAATTCTGGGTTGTTTGCCTTTACTAGCGGTATTGTTGTTATAGTTGTAGGTGATGCCCCTAGGCTTGGGCAGCCTCTCGAACTTAGCTACACGATCTAATAATTCTTGGAAACTATTGATCGTAGCCATTGCTAAGTAAGGAGCCATATGATCATCAATATTTCCAAGAAGGAGTTCCACAACATGTTTTTCGGTCAGTTGCTGCTCACATCTCATGTTGAGGTTCCTCCATCTTGTGATATATTTGGTAACAGACTCGTCCTTCTTTCTTCTTTCAAGGGCGAGATCTGCAATCGTCACCTTCTTTGTGGCACTGGCGAACCTTTTGACGAATATCGTTTTGAGCTCAGCGAATGTCTTAATTGAGTCATTTGGTAACTCGGCATACCATTCGAAAGCTGTGCTTGTAAGGCTACTAACAAATTGGCGCAGCAACAATGCGTCATTTCCTCTAGTGTTACCACAGGTGGCCTTAAATTGGGCCAAATGTTGCCTAGGGTTCTCTGTACCAGAAAATGTTTTGAATTAAGGTACCACATATCCTTTAGGATATTTTACGTGGTCGTATTCTATGGGATACGGGCGGCCAGTACCCACTAGAGCTTCAGCAGTTTCAGCAGCAATAACTGCTTTCACTTTTTGATTAATGAGGTTTTCAATTTGGGTCTTGTTAACTATTTCATCTTCTTTGAATGTTGTCAGTATCGGCTCTTGTACCTCTACTTCTTGATTAGGCACTTCTGGATTAGGAGCAGCCCGAATACCTGAAGTACCCACATTCTCTTGGGTATTTACATGTTGTGATCTACCAAGTGCGGTCACTAGACCAAGTTGCCCAAGTAGTTCTTTCATCATGAAGTTCATCTCATCAAGACGAACATTTAATTGAGCAATCTCCTGGTCTTTTCCCCGCTGGAGAGATTGCATTTCTTGCTGCAATCTTCTTACAGCTTCACTAGCCTCCTCTTCCTCCACCTCTTCTGATTGGGGAGGTGTCGTATTTGCAGGCATTACTTGCTCTTGCATACCCTGTGTTTGTTCTTCATTTTGGAGATTTGCAACTGCATTTTGACGGGTTTGCATTCTTTGGCCAGGCTGCTCAGAAGTCTGGCTTATCACTCGAACAGTTTCAACATCCATAGGATCAACCTCTTTTGTTTTTCCACCATACTCATCATCGGGAGAAGCCTTTTCATCCCAATGATTGACATTGCAGTCATCTTCGACCTCATATTCTTCTTCTGGCCGATTTCGACGCCTCCAGTGGATTATGGGAGAATCAGGGCTGCTTTTATACATAACAGCCTTTCCCTTATCAGCTAGGGTAGGCCTGACAGGGGATTCCTTATCAAAATGTGACCTTTGGTCACAATTCTTTGGCGACATTTTACGAGCTTGGCTCTCATGTTTGCCTTTAAAAATATTCATTTGTTTGGGCTCTTTTGGTACCCAAACCCGTTGGCTATTTCCATTGAACTTCGAATAATTTACCCTAGGCAGAGGGTAATATCGGTTACTCGGACCGACAAGTTCCTTTGCAGGAATCAACCTATAATACGGTTGAAGGGGTCTTTGTCTGTAGCCTTCATGGCTAAGATTACCATAAGATTTTCCCACTTGCTTTCTTTCAAATCTTAGGCGTTGTCTAGGCTCCGTAACTTTTGGATTAAAGAAATGAGGAAGCACCCTATTACTTCCTCGATAAGGTTTCTTTGAAACCTCATTCTTCCAAGAATTTCTTGAAGTTGGAATGAGATCTTCGTTCAACAACTTCTTCCAATCCCTCGTCAGCTTTCTATTCTTCATTGCTTTCAATAATTTGTGAAGATGGGAAGAGAGTGATTCTTTCTTTGCTGGTTGCTGCAGTGGTTGGTTAGAAGTCTCCCAAAAAGACTTCTTCAACTCACCTCGGGCATTATTACGTTTCACCCATCTTAATGGTTCGAAACCATTACGAATGGGTATGTTTGCCTCTGGTTGAGGCAGTGGTTGCTGATTTAGGGTGGGAATATTGACCCATCCATTAGCTCTAAGATGAGCATTGGCTTTCCTTCTAGTCTTTCTTGACAGCTTGACACCAGAGGTAGAGGCTTCATCATCGTGCCTCCCATGAATGAAAATAGCTTTCTCAGGAATTTCAGCTTCATTCCTCTTCATATTAGTCATATCAATGATAAAAGATTTCAGCTTAGGCTCGAGAGCCCTTCTTTTGGCCAACAGGGGCACCTTATTGTTAATGTTGAAAGCCTTATCAGTATCAGGCTTCTTGTAGTGAACATCAGATTTGTTCACATTTCGGTCAGCATAATCAGCAGTAACTTGTCTTGCCCTGGGCTTAAAAGCCTTCTTCTTTGCCGGAGGGGCTACAGTAGGTGCAACTGACAATCTTGAAAATACAGTAGGTCTTGGTGCAATAGCATTCTGAGTGATCATCTCCCTGGTTGGTGCAGCTTCACTAGGAAGGAACTTAAACACTTCGGAAATAGTTCCGAATTGCAGTGTGGCACCATCTCGACTAGTGTCTATCACAGTTTGGGGGAACTGGACGCGTGATCCTTCCCCAAGCTTAATAGTCATCATACTTTTCACAGGTGACATTTCAGCAACCTGTAATAGAACTTACAGGGATTAGAGTCAACCTGATTTCTATTGCACAAGAAAATATTACTTCATGAAAAAGCATGTATATATATGTATATATGAATATATTTCATCCAAAGATGGAGAGAGAAGTAATGCCCAGTGGAGTCGCCAGAAATCTGTTCGCTCCAGAAAAATCGTCTTAATTTAAAAAAAATAAAGAATGTGAACCCCGCTCTCACGAACTTATGGGTTCTCTTTAATTTTTCTGGAGGTAGATTGAGTTTAACAATTAACTAGATTTCCCCTGAGAGTAACATCAGGGTTTATTTAGATCTGGGTTCTACTTCCTATGAGCGCAAGCCCTCATAGTTAATTACCCCTTCTAACGCATTAGAAGAGCACTCTCGATTAAGGATGAAATATATTTAGCTTTGTACAAGAAGTGTGAGAATGTGCAATAGATATTTAAATTTAGTTATGGGGGTATGAAGGTACACCCGATCAAGATCCCATGGTTCCGTCATCCCGGGCATACCGTGAGTTCAGTCTACCAACACTAACAACCATTGGTTGTAGTGTCCAGGGAATCTGATTAACAGCCATGGGTTGCCTCCTCTCAGGGATCCCGAATAGACTGAAGTGGATATGTGTGAATTTTTAATTTAGTTTAGTTTAGTTTGAGTTGGGGCTTATGGCTTCCTTAAAAGTTTCCCGTTAATTTGTTTAGTTTGGGGCTTATGGCTCCAATTAGGAATTGCCCGTATGATTTGATTTGGATAGGGGCTTATGGCTTTCATTTTTGAAAGTGGCCCTGATAGTGGGACTTACGACCTCTATTAGATGTGGCCCATAGAATTTTGGTTGGGTAGGTCTTATGGCTTCCTTAAAAGTTGCCTAGTGATGGGTCTTACGACTTAACCCTATAAGCTAAGTGGCCCGAGTGATTTAATTATTTTTGATTATAGGGTCGTTCACTTAGAAGTTTTCTAACATATGGGTCTTATTGCTTCACTTAGAAGTAACCCAAAATAGCGGGTCTTACAACTTAGTCATATAGACCAAGATGCCCAAAGGGATTTGAGTTTTGATTATAGGGTCGTTCGTTTAGAAATTCCCTAAACACAACAGTCTTACATACATGCGTCGGGGCGTTGTCGGGCCCCGGAATCGGTCTTTAGAAACTCGAATTGATGACGATTTGTAGTGACTACCGGTGATCGTTTGCTTGTTGGTTGTCGATGCTTGGTTTGAAAAGTCATTCATTACTCTCTCTTTCTCTCTCTATATATATATGTATATTTTTTCTATTTCTTTCTCTCTTATTTTATTTTATTATGTATATTATAATATATTATATAACATACATATAAAATGTCATATATAATATAATATTATACATATATCATAGGATATATATTAGAATATAATATATGATATATATATTATTATAAAATATACTTATTATATGTATTATAATATATTAGAAATAAAGAGAGAAGAATAGGGAAAGAACAAAGAAGGGTCCGACGGAGGTCACGCACAGGTTCGGCGTCGGTGCTTGAAGCGGAGACGGTGACAGGAGTTCGGCTGGAATCGACGAGTTTGACGGTCGGAAGGCTATCAACGTGGTGTAAGGAGGATGGCCTTGGTTCAGCAAGGCTAGGGCACGGCAGCTTCAGTCACTAGAAGAGGCGGAAATTGGGTTCGGTGGCCGGATTCGCAATGGAAATCTGGTTGGCGGCCGTGGATTTTATTGCTTGTGCGAGAGAGGGCGAGAAGGAACCGTGCGATTGAGAGAAGCAGAACTGGAAAGCCTGAATTGATTTCCTGTGAGCGCCCCTTCCCCTATATTTATTTCATTCTTTTATACATTGAAGTAACAGTTATTCCAACGACGTGGAGGCAACGTGGTCCACGATTGTGATGGTTTGCTGCAACTTATAAAATTTTATTTCATGGTTTATATTTTCCTTGCCGCGAGTAAGAGCCTGAACTTCTTTTTGCAATTCATTATCTTTGCTTTATCATTATAACAGCCTTTAAATATATTTCCATCCATCATTCTCATTTGTATATAGTATTTGGAAGTTAGCTTTGTACAGGTCTTCAATACATTAATATATTATTTTATTAGCTTTATGAGTACTAATAAAATAATATAATTGCAGATTGTCAGAAGACTTAAAGTTCTTCATCTTGAATATTGTCGATTCTTCAAAACGCCCATAAGATGTTTGATGAAATGATTCTTGGAGTTGGTCAAACTCCAAACAATGCTCCAGTTCAGGATTTATTCCTCAAGCATGAAAAATAAAACTACTCAAGCTTGACATATAAATTTAATGAATTAAATTTATGGTCATTTTAATTGAAATCTTATCCACCAATTGATCTTGCAAGCTATGACACAAGTCAATTATAAAACATGAGAGATCTCTTAACTTGCTGTGAGGTGCTAAAGCCCTTTAGAGTCCAAACATAACCTTTATTTCTTATCTTTTTTTTTTTTTTTTTTTTTTTTTTTTTTTTTTTTTTTTTTTTTTTTATAACAAGATGAATATAAGATTACTAATGAGGGCCATTAGTAATGGTATGTAAATGCATTGTTCTGAATCCATTTTTCAAAGAATTTAATCTAGACTATAAAAATAACATCTCTCACTCCTTTATTTATTTATTTATTTATTTTTTAGAGAGATTAGGCTGTCACTATATCTATTGTTCATGAATAATGACAAAGCCGAATACTCGAGTATCATTATGATGTTATTAAATGTTACTAAAAGGGGTAGCTCCATTTTCCATATATAACCAATGTAGAATATCTTTGTTGAGGCGTTCATTGCACTTACTAATTAGTTTCATCTCAAGTGCAATATGATGGCTTTGAGAAAGCATTTTCGCAATCCTCAACTTGATATGTTATTCCAATTATTTATTTTTATTCCAAACAAGGACTTAGCCCATTTTTGACAGCTATATTACTCACCACCACCGGCAGCATGACCAAGACATATCCTAGTTCAATGCTAAGTTTACTACGATAGCAGTTACTTTCAGCAGGCTCCACCACCTCCACCTCCATCTGATGATCAGGATCCCTCATTTCTGTTGTTTTAGTCTCTATTTTATGTAGATTGCTTTCTTTTTTATATTATGTTTTCAGTTGCTTTAGTTTGTGTTTTTAGTTTCCTCCTCCTTTTTGATATGTCAAAAGGGGGAGTAGTATGTTTGTACTTGTTCTTGTAGTATGTTTGTACTTATTATGTTCGAAAATTTGAAAGCTTGTTTAGTTTTACATTACTGTTTTAAAATTGATTATCGATATGTTTGCCATCATCAAAAAGTGGGAGATGGTTACAAACCTATTTTTTGGATTGTGATTTTGATGATAGCAAACAAATCTTGTTTCACTAAAGCTGCCTTTACTACTGACATTTTCAGGATTCAAAGATCGGATGGAAATTGAAATCAGCTCAAGACTGGGTAAATTATGGTTGAGTTAGTCTATAATTTTCTTTTTTCTTTCTTGAGTCAATTGTAAATGTTTAAAGTGACTGATGTTAAGTAACCCTACACACACACTTGAGAGATTTAGAACTTGTGTTTTTACTCACATCGTCCCGGACGATATTTATATCATCCTAGATGATCGAGTTCAAAACCAAAGATCTAATCAGGATTTTGGTTAAGGCAGCCATAATTAACTAATCAGCCTGGATGATACATGTATCGGCTAGGACGATATGCTCAATACAGCAAAAAATTTCCACCATTATCTATTTAGATATTCTGTATTTTTGGAAATCGACCAGGATGATTCCTTCATCGGCCTGGACGATATTGTATAATTATGCCTAAATTGATCCAGCAATTATGGGAGTAATTAAGGTTGATTGATACGATCACATCATCCTAGATGATTGCAAGATCGGCCTAGACGATCCATTCAAAAATCCTTGGTTACTCCTGGACGATAAATATCGGCTAGTATAAATTCAGGGTGATGCTCTGGATGATTTTCCTCTAATTTGAACTAATCGGCTAGGACGATCGTTAGATCGTTCGGGATGATCAAGAAAATTTTTAATCAACCAGTTTGCATTTACGGTGATTCTTTAGTTGATCTTATGAGATTTGTAGTTATCGGCCTGGACGATTTCCATATCGTCCTAGACGATAAAGTCGGCAACTTGCAATTAATGAGCTCCTTTGAAGCTCGTCTATTTATGAGCTCTTGTTCAACATTTTTGAACATTCTTGGCTTCTTTCTTGACCTGAGAAAACCTAAAGGAGAGAGAGAGAGGGAGGGAGAGAGGGAGAGAGGATCTTGTGAGGGGGAGTATGTGAGGGGGTTCACAAGGGTTGCTCCAAGCATTGTTCCACTTCTTCTTCCCTAGAGTTTCTTATCCTTGGAAGGGTTGGGAGAGGTAAGTTTCAGCAAGTGATCGTGGTTCTCTGCCTGCTTCAGGAGGAAGCAAAAGGAGTTAGGTTCTCTGCCTTGCCGGGTGTGGCGAAAAGGAGGTGTTTTGTAAGCGCTTCTCCGCCTAGTTGTGGGGGATAAAGGAGAGTCACGTTGGTAGTGCAATACTCGGAGGGCGCCTCCGGGGAGTGGACGTAGGTTCAGTTGACCGAACCACTATAAACCGTTGTGTTCTTTTTACTTCTTCCGCACTTTAATTTTCCGCACTTGTTTTTTCCGTGGAGATTTTAGTTTGTGATATTTATTCTTTTTGTTTAAAGATTTTAAAAAAAACCAATTCACCCCCCCAAAAACCCCCCCCCCCCCCCCCCCTCCCTCCTGGTTAGCCTCAGGACTAGTTCATAGGGCCTAACATCCCTAACAAACTTTCACTATCAAACATCATTTTGAAGGAATTAATGTTAAATGAATGAGGAAATTAAAGCTAACTTCTATGGAAGTTTAATTCTAGTGGAGATTACTAAATATTTCCCTTCCTACTAATTTATGGTTAAATTATAAGAAGTTTAAAGAATCTATTTTATGTTTGAGATCTTGTATTCAAATTAAAGATGGTAACATTAGGTTCCAAATCTTTTGTAACATCTCTCTGCTCTGGTACTTCCGGCGATTCTTTGGCGATCTAGGGTTTGCCTACTTTCTCTTTCTTCAGGTTGCTTCTAGCATAGTTTAGTGTGGTTTTTCTTCTCTTTTTCTTTCCATTTTTGTTCCATCTCTATTTTTTGAGCTTCTTCAGCATTTTATTTTGATTTTTTTTTTCTTATTTTTGGAAGTTTGGGGGATGACGACTCAGTCGTCTTCTTTCCATACAAAAGCTATGGTGCCTAATGGCAAACCTAGTTCCTTTAAGGATAAGCTTACTGGCTCTTCCTCTGCTTCATCATAGCTTCAGTTTGTTTATACTTCATTTAAGGGTTGTCCCGCTTTAATGTTTGATGATTCGATTGTATCTCAGTTGGCTTCCCCCTTTGCTCTTACTTTATTTGGTAAGTGTTTCCTAAGGCAACCTAATCTTAATATTATTCACAAGTTTTTTGTTAATCTGAAGCTTACAGGTTTCTTTCATATTAGATTTCTTGATCCTCATCATGTGGCAATTCAACTAAGCCATGACTTGGATTATAGCCATATTTTCTCCAGAATATCTTACTATATTCAGGCTTGTCAAATGAGACTTCTTAAAGGACACCTGATTTTGATGTCTGTGAGGAGTTCCCAATTGCTCTTGTTTGGGTTTCTTTCCCTAATTTGAGGCTTCATTTCATTAACTCACAAATTCTCTTTGGTCTTGCTTCTATTCTTGGTAGGCCATTACAAACAAACCAGGCGATAGCTTCAGTTTCTCATCTGTTGGTGGCTCATGCATTAGTTGAGTTAGATATTTCAAAAAAAAAATTAGAATTTGAAATTTCAAAACTTACCTATTTTTTTCTCACACTGTAAGATGCATGGTCATGGTTTGAGTGAGTGTTTTAAACTCCATCTCCATCTTAAGAAGAAGAAAGAAATTGCCAAGTAGTCTAAAGTGAAAGAGGGTATTTCAAATGACCATGTTAATGTTACTTTGAACCTTGATATTTATGAGGCTAGTGGTGAGAAAGTTCTGGGTCATGATGTAGTTATTCTACAGCCTGGTAAAACTCAAACCAAACCAACCTCTTCTAATGGGATTGAACTTCTCATTAATCAAGGCGTAGATCCCAAGCTAGATACTATATTATGTTTTGATCTCTCTGGAATGGTGAAGCAAATGATATCTAGTAATTCTAATAGCATTAATGTGCCTTCATCTTCATCTAATCCTTGTGTTTCAAAGAAAACTTTGTTTGATATGGTTGTTATTTCTATTGACACTAACTATTATAATAAACCTCAATCTCATACCATTATGAATGAGTAGGTTAATGAGCTGATTCCTGAAAGAGTTGAGCCTTTAATATTGTAGGCTAATTTGCCCCAAGTAGAGAGGCTGGCTATTGTCCAAACTGAGAAGGTGAGGGAGATAAGTAGAATTGTTGTGAACAATGAAAAAATGGTGGAGATGGTGTTTTCCATGTGGAAGGTAAGTTTCCACTTTATAGGGGCATTCAGGTGTGATAAATGAAAGTAAGCTTCCTTTAACTGATAATTATATTAGTAATGCTTTTACATACACGAAGGAGGTGGATATGTTGGCTAAATATTTAGCTAGAGATGATAATAATAAGAGTTATACCAAGGGTCATGGTAAGAGAGGTAGGAAACCAAGGAATGTTATTATACAATCACCTAGAAATACACATTCGCATACTTCTCATTAATCATTATTTTTTTGTTTAATAATATTTTTGAAATGTTAGGGGTATTGGGTACCCTTCCTCTAAGTATTGAGTTAAAAATTTATATCTTATTCATAATTTGTTTATACTTTTCTTGCTTGAGCATCTTATTTTAGCATCTTATTTTTGGAAATGTTTTGTTATAATAAACATCATTGGTGATTTTACTCAAGTCTTGCATTGTAATATTAAAAGTTCTAGTTTTCAATGTTGTGCTTCATTTTTTTATGTTGCAGCCTCTCGTTATACTAGAAAGATTTTATGGTATCAAATCATTCATTTCCATAGTATTTGCAATCTTCGTTGGTTTGTTAGTGGAGATTTTAATGCTATAACAAACCCGTCTGAGCGCATTGGGGGGCTCTCTCCCTATCTATCAGTTGATGGAGGATTTTAATGGTATGATTATGGATTGTAACCTAAATGATATTGGTTTTTTTGATAATAAATTCACTTGGCATCATGAGCATTTATGATAAAGGTTAGATAGGGTTTTATTTAATGATGATTAGCTTAATTCTTTTGAGTCTACTAATGTTGAGCATCTTAATCAGACCCTCTCTGATCATTCTCCTCTTCTTATTAAAATTAATAATAGAGTTAGTAGTATTCCATCTCAATTTATATTTCAAAAAATGTGATTACTTCATAACTCTTTTCTGGATGTGATTAAGAATAATTGGCATGCCCTATGTATCTTAATAACTCTATCTTTGGCATAAATAGATTTTGGCT